TGCCATTTCTCGCCATTTTCTATCGCGTTGTCATCTGACTAGGAAGGACAGGGAGGAGGCGTTACTCATTATGATTAGTATACTGCGCATGCTTGAAAACATGCCTTGAGGGATCATCCTGTTTCCTGAGGATTCACAGGCATCCTCACGCTATACACTACCTTTAATATTAGTAACATGATTACAAAATGAATTTGACTAAGACAGAAACGCCAATATTCTACACTAACACTTAGCTCGCTATGTCCACCTGCAGCAAACGAATACAGCAGAAACGAAGCGAGCATTCTTGTACTCTTGTTGATTCTGACAGTGAATAATAAAGAAAAGTTGTAAGGAAAATATTGGTAGTTCAATTTTCCTTTTTATTTCTAAAACACGCATTTCAAGTTAGGTCCGTTTTCGAAAAGAGCGTTTAGAGCTATGTTTTAAGTAAAAAAATATTCAACAAAATTGTGGTTTGACAACGACGTACACTGTTAAAAAATCTTGGGGATGCTTTTTTCCGAAGTTAAAGAAGTTAAATGAAATCATTATCTTTAGTGAAATTGGCCTATCCTTTTTCACGTAGTACGCTAGATATCACAGGAACTGGCGATACTGAGAGGAAGTTGTTTTCATTTAATATTGGTTTTCAAACTAGTATTTAAAAAAAAATTAATTATAATTTCACTTTTAACAAAATTCACTGCTATGACTGCCAATAGTGTATTTTACTTGGCATGAAATTTTCATTCATTCCATTTTTTTTCCAAGTTTCAATTTTCAATCCTAAGATAGAAACGCCTATTTTCTACACATAGCTAATAGATTGGTACTAAAATTTCTACTATAGTCCATTCCACCTTAAGTTGGCACTGGAGAGAAAGGCAGGTAGACCGGATTATAGCCGTTGTCAAGGAAACTGGGTAACTCTTTAAAAGTCAGTTGGGGTATGAGGTAGCAAAAAAGGTAAAGAAAGTTGCCAGTATTGACGTTTAAGAAAGCAAAACACCGATTTTTTTTAAAACCAAGAATCTTACGAAAATTTTGAACAGAATACTGAAAAGAACACGATTTTTTAGAGCATTTCTAATAATTAGTATTTTAAGATACTAGTTCTAAGCTGATTTCTTAATTAGTATTTAAAAAGCAGATTTTCTTATTGTGATTTTAACTAAACGAAACTAATTTTAAACAACAGGAAAAAAAATATATTTAAGAAGATTCTCTTTTGCTGAAATCTAAGCAAAAAAAAAAAAAAAAAAGAAATGCATAGATGCGCATAAATGCTTTGTTTTAAACATTTATTTTTATATGCTTATTTTTTGTAGATTAATGTTCATTAATTTATCCCACATTGGTGTTTTGATGGGGAAGGAAAAGTCAGCATAGGCAGGAAATTATTAATCATGAAAAAGATCATACTTATGCTTTATAATATTTACTGTTATTTTTTTTCTTCTTAATATGATTTTTTTAAATAAACTAAACTAATTTTAAATAAAAAAATATATATATTTAAAAAGATTCTTTTTCGCTGAAATCTAAGTAAAGAAAAGAAATGTATAGATGCTCATAAATACGTTGTTTTAAATGCTAATTTTTATATGCTTATTTTTTGTAAATTAATGTACATTAATTTATCCCTCATTGGTGTTTTGTGGGGGAAGAAAAAGTCAACATAGGCAGGAAATCATTGATCATGAAAAATATGATACCTATGTTTATATATAATATTTACTGTTCTTTTTTTTTATAAATAAAAAATGCAAATTTTTATTTCAGAGAAGTTTTTTTCTTTTTTTTTTACTATAATACTATATAAATCATTTTTTTCTGAAATATATTTGCTTCTACGAGACAAGAGAACTTACATAAAAAAATAATTCTCAAAAATAGTATAAATTTGGATTTTTAGTATTATCCACATGGGGGGCGCGTACAGCTTGTACGCCCCCCCCCCATATTTTCAACTGCCATTTCCCACCCTTTCAGACTCAACACGTTCTAAACCACGTTCTGAGAATTCAGCCAAATTGAATAACATGATAACCACCTATCCTGGTGGTTATCATGTTATTCATTTAATATTTTAACAGTTGACAGTTCCTTCTGCAAACTCTTTGTGGGGCCTCCTGCTTGTGTTAGCAAATTACATATTGATTAAATAAAAGAAAGCAATATGACTATAAATCTTTTAATTTAATATTATATTTTGAAGAGTGAACATTTATTAAATTATTGAATTTGAAGGAAAGCCGTAAATTTTGTATTTACAGAAAGAAGCAAGGTAACTAGAATCTGAAATTTCTGACATACTTTAGAATTTTAAAAACTAATAAAAAATTTAGACGGATATTTTCTTTAAAAGTACTGTGCAGTTGGAAATTCAAGGAGTATCTGTTATATCCTTCAACATAGTAATTGTTAATTTTTTTTAAAAAATCAGAACCTTTCGCTTATTTGTTTTCCTTAGAGAGTTCGTATCAGTTGTTTTTTGTGAATAGACCAATGTCCAAGGTCGCACCACTATTAGCAACTTACCATTTTTCTTATGCAGAAAAAGCGCTTTCCTTCACATAACAAATTTTTCTTAAAACGGTGAAATGACTAGGCATGTCACTCCCCTCATCTACAAAGGGTTTACTCGAAGAAAAAAAAGGAAACTCAGCATGACTCAGACTTTATGAGTAACCGTCAACTGCATCTGAAGATTGGAAATTATCATGGCAGAATGTCATCGGCACTGGTGAAAAGACCTAAGACGAAGAATGCTGCCTTGTTACACAGTTTGATGTGTTATTTTGATCCTTTGCAGAGGGGATGGCACCCCCGCTTCGGTAGCCCGACGACCTGCACGCGAAGTCGAGCACTTTACGGTAGAACAGTTTAACGAGGACCAATACCGCACTCCCTCGGTCCCTACGCAGACTGATCCAAGTGGTCAATTGAAAAGGAAGAAGGGCCAAAGGCATGTAACCAGTCTTCTCCCCAGACGGCGTACTTGAGCGTTGCGAGCACTTATAAAAGTTGAAGTTATAATTTTTTGTTCCTTTTGTATAACGCAATAAAATATATTTCTTTAAGCGTTTTGGCAATGAGTTCATTGCTTTTTGGAATGTAAATAAACTTTTGGCAGCGCAGTGCTTGTGAATTCGTGAAATTGTATTATTCGATAAAAATAGTAAATCAGACTCAAAATGGTTTCATGTATGTGTTTTTTATTTATTTAAAAAGAAATATGTGGTGATCAGCTCTGCAAATTTGTTATAAAAGTGCAATGTCGTCGATGAATGATTTAATATCACGTGTGTTGTTACCGAGTACCGTAGAAGATTTGAAACGACGTTTAGATGCAGGCCGAGAATCGGGTTGGTACGAATCTAATACAAGTGCAAATTCTAATTGTTTCCAACCGAAGAAAAAAAGATTATCATCAGAAAAATCGGATGACCACAAGAAATCACATTCTTCGTCAAAAGATGGCCAAAACGCGTTTTGCAAGGAAATTAACAATAAATTCTCTCATATCACCGAAAATTCTACCTATGTTAACACTTCCAATGGCGAAAATCTTTCGTGGGATAACTTAAATAAAGTTATCAAAGACAAAGTTCAATGTCCTGATTGTGGTAAAGTATTTTTTAATGAAGTAAAGCTTCCTGAAAATTTTTTGAAAATATACTCTAACTCTATTGCCAATAATGATAATAACGTTGCCAACACACAGCCCACAATTCTCAAGAATGTACCTAGTTTACCCAGTGCAACCGAACCTCAACGTTATGAATGTTATATTTGTGATAGAGTTTTTTCACAAAAAGAAAATTATGCCAAGCACTTGAAAAAACATTTGAATAGTGCTGCATCATCTTCAAAAAATAAATGTGAAATATGCAGTAAATCATTTTCAAATCAAACAGCTCTGTTTAACCACTTCTTGGAACATAAGTCGAACACTTGTGGCAAATGTGGTAAAAGTTTCCCAGATAAGTGGAAATATGAGCGACATTATAAAACTCATTTACATAAGTGTCAGCTATGTGAGAAGCTGTTTGTAAAAAAATGTTATTTAAAAAAACATTTGGCTACGAGTCATGGAGTTTATGACTTGGAACCAAATGAAAAACAAAATCAGCCAAAGATAATAAATAGCAACAACTGTAAAATGATAGTCAGTGTAAAGCCAGAAGTCAATGAAGAGTCAAACGCATTTGTTCTTATTAAATCAGAAGTGCCAGCCATTGAAAACATTTCAAACGAAATGGCGATTGTTCCATATGTTGCAAAACCAGCGGTTGCTGATTATAAGAATCTTTGTAATATTTGCGGCAAGTCTTTTAAGGATAAGTGGAAGCTGAAACAACATTTAGTGATTCATTCTGGGGAAAGAGCTTGGGCGTGTAATTTTTGTACCCAAAGATTCTATTTTAAGTATGGTTTATCACGTCATGTGAAGAATGTGCATTTAGCGAAAGAGCAACAAGTTTTTGACGTTTGTGAAGCAGTCAAAAAAGACAATGTAAAGCAGGAATAATGATGACTCATAAGCACTACTACGAATCAACTTCATAATAATGCTTTTAATGTGTGAAAGAAATGTCTTTGATAAAAACTGTTTTTAATAGTGATGTTAAATAGCATTTTAAAACATTCCATCAGGTAGAAACTTAGAAAAATCGATAATTGGGCAAGTTCTGTGATGCAAAGCTAGTGGAGCATGATTCAAAGTGCTTCTATTTTTTGAAATATAAACAGCTGTTCGACTGTCGACTTTTCAAACAAACGAGCTCATAATTCTTTATTTATTAATAAATCTGAAGCAATTTTTCTAATTTATCTTCTAAAAAATCAAACTATTGCCAAAAATAAACGTTTAATCTGAAAATGTACAAAAAATTTGAACACAAAATAATTTTTAAGCATTCTTTTAGTACAATTGCACTGTGTGTGTATAATTTCTTTAATAAATTGATGTTAGCGGTAGGAAAACGCTAGAAATTTTTTTTCTATTTCACTCTTTATTATGCTACTTTTATTTTTTAAAGTGATTATTCTACTACGAAAGAGACAATAAATTGGTTTTGTTAATTCTGGTTACTACTCCATTCAAAGAAGGAATCAGGTTCAACTTCTTAAATGCTGTAAGAGTTACACTATCTGAGGTACTCCACTAGCTTTAATTACAGAATATATCCAAAAATATTTTGTTTGTTGACTGTCATCTTCATCAATATGCTAGAAATTTTTATTTCGTGTTTTTGAAGTGTTTTTTTTAGGCTTGAATTTCAGTGTATTTTTACATGCTCTTTTTTAATATACTTAAGATTGAATTGATAATGCAATATAAACACTGCCACATGATGTTTATCATTATGCTGTGAGTTAATTATAAACTTCTATATATGATCTTAATTATTAACTGTCTTAAAGATACATGATCTGTTTTAAAAACAGTTTTATGTATGACTACAACATACAGCCTGGTTCTGGTGTCCATACTAATAGAGTATCTTTGTAGTACAAACTGCATTCCTTAATATTAGTAGCAGGACTGGGCGATAAACCAATGTATTGTGAGATATCGATTTAGTGCATATATCGGCACGCCGATATAATGATTTTCGGTTTAGGCGATGCATCAGAAATCTGATTTTAGCCGCTAGTATAAGACAATGCTCGCGATTTAACACGGGAGGTTTTGATTTTGTCTGGGGTAGATGTCGATAGCGTCTAACTACGAAGACGATGCTAGTTACGTGATGTTGAATGACGAAGAGCGATTTGAAAATGAACGATTTCGTGAGAGGATCGGTGTTGAAATAAAGAACGATATGCATGGTTTCTTTATGCACCATTTTTGTCTTTGGGATTTTAAGTTTCTTGAAGATTATTTTTAGTGGGACCTACATTATTTTGCGATTGCTGTGAATTTTATTTCTTTGGGATTTAAAGTTTCTTGTGTGTCTCTTTTGCTACTTAGTGATCGTTTCGTTGTGCATTATTTCGTAACATTTTTGTTTTGTTTTGAGGGATTTAACGCTTCTTTTTCTCTTTATTTTAGTTGACCTACTGTTACTTTGCGGTAGCTTCGCAGTCACTGTTATCCTAAATTTTTGTCCTGAAAGCTATCTGTTAATAAAAAGAAAATATGTATAAAAAAGAGATTCTTCAGTGATTTTTTGAATTATTGTTTTTCATTTTACATGATACAATTTAAGCAGGGTATTTTGTTAGAAGAAGTTAGTTTTTTTTTTCTTTTAATTTATTTAATGCACATAAGTAATTTGATTATTTTTGAACCAATAATTCTTCAGTCCTTTTTAGTTATATGAAAATTAAAACAAAACCTACAGTTAGTTAATTTGCATTTATTTTTGAGAAAATTAAAACAAAGTTTGTATTATTTTTTTTTTAAGGAAAACTTGGCTACTAGTTACAACAAATGATTTTTTTAAATAAAAAGTTAAGCAATGTTTTAAGGTTTTTTAATAATTTATAATAGTACATAAAGTATTTTTTTTAAAAAATTTTCTTAAAATTCTTTCAATATTTGTTTCATAATTTGTTAGATAGTTAGTATTATTTTTAAACAAATAAATCTTTAGTCGATTTTATTTTCAAAAGAGATAATAATAAATGAAATCTTACATTTATTTTTACTTTTATTGAGTGTAGAATTTCGCCATTAGTTAATACAACTTAATTTTAAATAAATAAAAGAAAGTCTAATGACGTTTCAAAAGCACTGTAATAAGGCTATGGTTTCTGTGGTTTATTTTTTACTTTTTTTTTTCTCTTTTAATTTTTAATTCGTGTATGTAAAATATTTTATTACAGTTTTATTATTATTTTTAAACCAATAAATCTTAAGTCATTTTTAATTAAAAAAAAATTAGAATAAAGCTCGAGTTTGTTTTTACTTTATGACATCTTTATTATTTTAATTAAAAAAATTAAGCAATGCTATTGAAGTTATAGAAGCATTTCTTATAGCTAGCATTTTTTTGTAATAGATTTTTTCCTTTTTGATTTAAGGATTTCTGATAGATAATATTTGAACATGTGCTAAATCGCTATTTGCGATGTCTAACAGATGTATCATGATATAAAATTTCTTGCATCGCCCAGTCCTAATTAATAGGCTGTTGTGTAATCACTCTTATGCTCTTTGGTCTATCTGTATCTGAAGCTTTAATTCTATAGTAGAATTTTTTTTATGAAAAGTAAAATTTCAAGAAATAAGTTATGATATATTATCTATAAAATAGGAAAGGAATGTAAGCAAGATTTTGTAACATTTTAAAATCTAAAAATATTGTGAATTTAGATGATAATCAAAATACAATGTTTGTTCTCATTAGTTTTTGTAAATATGAGTCATAATTTAACGTTTAAGGATATTATGAATATAGATGATAATCAAAATACAGTGTTTGCTTTTATTTGCTTTTGTAAATATGTGTCATAATTTGAGAACTAATATATAAATTATGATTAATTTAACTACATGCTTTTGTGTTCTAGGTGTAACCATGTAGTTAATATACTTGTGCCTTATACTTTATGATATGAACTTGAAAGTTTGCATTCATTGTTAATAATTAGCTAACTTCATGTTCTGAAAATCGTACATTACATCTTAACAATTAGAGGAGTGTAATATATCGTTTGAATTTTAAACTAAATTAGCTCATTTTTCTAAGATAATAACTGTTCCAATTATTTGGAAATTTCCAAGAGTTGTGCAAAACTTAACTGTTAAGTTTTAAAAACTGAGATTTTAAACAAAAGAAATTTAGTACTGTTCTTTTCTGGTGACGGAAATCACTCTTAAGGAAAAATCATTTGACTTAATTCCATCAATATCTCTTTTTCATTTGTTTACTTAAACTATTTTTTTTCCTTAACAAATTTTAAAAAAAAAATTATTAGGAAAAGAATGTTATATTTCACAATTATTGCAAAATGATCAAGCAATGATGTCACAATGCAATGAATGAATGAGATTTGTACTATTGCTTAATATAAGTTTGCTTACGTTACCATTATGTTTCCATTTGTTTAAAATAATTTTTTTGCTAATCTTTATTTTTTATTTAATAACCTAGGAAAAGTAATTTGCTGCTTGAAAATGGGTCTGTGTCTTACTGTAAACTGATTTTTAGATGTAGACTGTAACAAGAAATACTTTTAAACAAAGAATTCTTTTGTAAAGACAAATGTTTTGCTGAAAGGCAATTTTAAATATTTCAATAAGTATATCTTAATCACTTATGAAGAAAAAATACTAAAATAAATAAATTTATTGTTGCTCGGATCCTTGCTTGTAAGAAAAATTATAACTCAGATATTATAAATATCTGTACATAATGTTGTCACATACCCAGCTCAGGAAAGAAATGTCATATTGTTAGCTATGTAGGTCTTAAAAAATCAAATGGATCATTTGAATAAACCCCAATTTCATTTTAAAAATTATACTTTGTCTATGGTAAGAACTGCTAAGAAGGTTTTCTGCTGTTATGGAAACAAGAACATCACATTTCAGGGAGGGTAGCTTCTCTTTACCCTGTATAGGGCTAACGCAATAGAACGCAGAAAAAGATTCCATTTCTCTTTCCGACCTGAGCCAAAACCTGTCCTAAACAGTGACTCCACACCCCTACTTGAAATAGTTATGTCTCATTACCGTGGTCTAACTATACTTTAGTCATATATTGTTTATATATGTTGTACATTGTAAGAAATTGTACATTTTAGTATTTAGTAACAAATTTTGAAATATGCTGTTGATTTTTTTAATTTTTTATGTTTTATTGATTTTTTTTAATATTATGTTTGTTATTGACTTTCCTCTCCCAGAAAGTTTTATTATTTGGTTATTTTGTTTTATATAATGAAACTATTTTTATTTTAACAGCTTTTTAAAGTTATATTTGGCATACTCTTCAGTCTGAACTTTCTCTAAATGTGGCCAAGCAATGTTGATGACTTGGTAACAGATTTTAAAATTATTCATCTTTAATATTGATCAGTTTTTGCTATCTAATATTTATTATCTAAATTTATAATTTTATATTTTTGCTTAGTTTGTTGTTTAATTCAAACTTTATGTTACAAACATTGAATTATTATAAAATAATTTAAAATATTTTAATGTGATTATTAACCTGTTCAATTATTAGTAATAAATCTATTTTTTTTTGTTTTTGTTTTGAAAGTTAGCAAAGAGCTTTCTTAATTCTTTTTTGAAATTATTCTTTAAATGTTTTTGTTATTTTTGGCCATTCTCTTTTATGCATTCTCATTCCTGATTTTTGTACTATTTGTTATTTTTATGTAATAAATTCATAATTCCTTAGTTCTGGAACTATAGGATACACAGTATTGTTTATAAAGGCTTAATAAATCTGTTTAAATGTGCATTGGGAAGTGAGAAGATATTGGAATAATTTTTTTAACAGTTTCATATAAATGCTTTTGGGTGAAAAATGCATTAAGATGGTTGTTTTTTTTTTTTTTTTTTTTTTTTTAAATTTTTTTAAAGCTTGTCTTTAGTTATATATATATATTTTATGTATTTATTATACAGTAGAGTTTGAATATCCCAGTTAATGTGGAAAAAACTCTGTTATAGTGAAGAGTATAAAAAAGGAAAGAGTAGGTATAAATTTAATATGTGTAACAAATACAAAATTTATACGAGTATACCACATACAATTCAAATTATAATTGAAAAGCTTACTTAAAAAGAGTTAACTTAATATAGCCCTTAATTGTTTTTTGTTTTACATTATTACGGATAACAGGAAAGCTGGTGTTTCCTCTTCTTCTTGTTCTACATATTTTCAATAGCACCTTCGAAGGCTTTTAGTCCATCTGTATGAGAGATTTTTATATGTTTATTTTCATTTTCACTGTCTTCATCTTCACTCAGTCCATGTTCATTATTGACGATATTAACTATCATTTCATCGGTAATCTGGTGTTGTCCATCAGCTTGTTTTTCTGGGTGTTTGGAAGATAAAATTCAGAATTTTTTTCGGTTGCAGTTTAACTCGGATAATACGGACTCTACTGTATTTCTTTAATTTGAAAGAAAGCAGAATATCAGCAGATACAATTATTTTCTGTTTACATCTTCGAAATGTGGAAAATATTGTTTTGTCATGCCTTTTGAGTATTGTCACTATTTGCTGGTCATTTTTTGTTATGTTCATTATTTAGAATTATGTTATGCCAAAGATAGAGATGCTTTGCCTTAATGACATTTTAATTTGTAGATTTAAAATTTTATTTTTATTTTAGTTTAAATACTATAATTTTTATGTATTTAATGTAAACTTTAATGTATTTTTTCTTTTTCTTTTATAGATGATCTTGTTTAAAAAAAATGAACATCAGAAGATTTCCAGATTTATCTGTTTGTGTTTTAGTATAATAGATAGCATTAATGTCATCAATAAACTTATTTGAATGTTTATTTTTTATCTTTAATCACCTTTGTATATTCTGTACAATAAAGTTTCATTTATTAAGTATTTTTTTTCTAAAATTTGTGTTTTTTCCCTTCTTTTTGAACAAACATACAATGGCATTCAATGTTAAAAAATTGCTTTCATGAAATAATAAATCTAACATTTAAATGATAAATAGAATTTCAGATGCCTTAAGTCCTTTTTGTCCTCCTTGCATTTTAGGCGAAGTTTTGATATTATCTCATTTTTACATAATCGTTATTCATGTTGTTTTGGAATTGTTGTAACATTTAATAATGATTTTTATTAATGATTTATCTTTTCTTTTTATCATTTCTTAGAATACAGAGCCAAGTGTGGTAAAAGCTTCCCGACTAAATGGAAATACGAACGACACTGTAACACTAGTTTACACAAATTTCGGCTTTGTGGTAAGCGATTTGCAAATAAATGCACTTTAGAAAAGCATTCGACTATAGGTATGTATAATAGATAGCATTAATGAAATAATAAATCTAACATTTAAATGGTAAATAGAATTTCAGATGCCTTAAATCCTTTTTCTCCTCCTTGCATTATAGACAAGTTTTGATATCTTATTTTTACATTATCATAATTCATGTTTTGGAATTTTTGTAACATTTAATAAGGATTTTTATTAATGATTTATCTTTTCTTTTTATCATTTCTTAGAATACAGAGCCAAGTGTGGTAAAAGCTTCCCAAATAAATGGAAATACAAGCAACACTGTAACACTCGTTTACACAAATCTCGGCTTTGTGGTAAACGATTTGCAAATAAATGTACCTTAGAAAAGCATTCGACTATAGGCATGTGGCACGAAGAGCCAAAAGCAAAAACCAATCTATTAAATAACAGCAGCTACGAAATGGTTGAAAGTGTAAAGCCGGAAATAGTTGGAGGATCTATAGTTGTTGGAAGTGTGCCAAACGAAAAACATAAACAGCATGAAATTCCAAATAGTAATAGCTGCATTAAGATTGTAAGTGTAAAGTCGCTTGCCTGTGAAAATGTTGATAGTAATCCAAATGATAAGGCAATAGTTCCAAACCAACAGTCAACTGATTATAAGAATCTTTGTAATGTTTGTGGTAAGTCTTTTAAAAATAAGTGGAGGCTGAGAACACATTCATTGGTTCATTCTGGGGAAAGAGCCTGGGCTTGTAATTTCTGTACTGGAAGATTTCAGTTTGAGCATGTTTTATTGAGACACGTTAAAAATATGCATTTAAAAAAAAAAGTTTTTAATGTTACTGACTCAATAAATACTGATGTAAATGTATAAGTTAATCTTATCCATTAAATTTAAAAAATAAACTTTTGTGCTCAGTTCTTTCATTATTAGTGGATTTATTATGTTATATATCTTAATCACAACTTCAAAAATTGTAATTTTTTAAAAGAATTTTTAAAATATTACGATTATTTATTAGATTTCCAGGCGTTTCCTGTATTTATTTTTTAAAAGAGAAATTACAATGTTTTTCTGATTTGCCCAATACGGTAAGATATTTATAAATTGTTTCCAATAGAAAAAGAAGTGCTGAAAATTTGGGTATAGCTTTAAAATCAACGCATATTAAACCTCTTTATATATGTAAATATGGAATTTGGATTACTGGTTTGAATTTTAGATATTTTCATTAACAAAGAATTTTAAATTAAATATTTTTTGTTTTATATAAAATTTAAAATTACTTTTAGTTATTGATTTCCTCAAATGGTATTTTAAATTCTTTTTCTTCTTTTTTTACATTTTATGCTTGTACTTTTTATTTGTTAATTTTTGTTTATTACTTTCTACTTTTTACTTCAAAATCAGATTTTTTCACTCTCTCTTTACTTTTGCTTTTATGATGGAATGCTGTTATCAAATTAAATTGAAATCATTTTTTTCTTTTGTGTACATAACTTTTTTATACATGAGCTATAATGTAAAGGGGAAAAACTAAAAAAGAAAAAAGGTTTACCAACCTAATGTACAAGCATGGATATTTTTATCTTTTAATTACAGAATTTTTTTTATAAACAAATCATTATTTCTGCCTCCATGTTCTATGAAACTGTGTATTAAGGGGTTAAACTTTATATAATTCATAACTCATCGTATAAAAGTATCTTTTGAATATGCATGACGAATTCAATTTATTTTTATGTATCATTTGTATTGTCTAATTGATTGGAAATTTTTAGAAAATCAGCCTTAAAAAAAATATTAGTATATGACTATCTTATTTGTAAAATTCTTATCAATTAAAAAAAAAATAATAAATAAATTTATAATGAGATAAAGAATGTTGTGTTAAAAATACAGCCTTGAAAAAGAAAAACTATATCTCTAAAATGATAGGAAAAAATTGAATGCAAATTTCTTTTATTGTGTGAACTAAAGTAAATGCTTTAGAATGAAAACATAAAAACTGATTTCTGTTAAAAACAAAATAATAACACTGCAAAAAGGATATTTTTATTAAAAACTGTTCTTTATTAAAGGTAGCAAAAAATAAAGGTTGAAATGGTAACTATTTTAAATATAAATTTATTAAAGATTTTAATAATAAAAATAAAAAATAGTTTGGCACTTTAAAAAAATTGTTATGAAACACTTTTCACTACTAGATGCTTTTTAAGTGAGTAGTTTTTTCCCCTCCAGTTACCGAGGGAGTTTAATTTCATTCTTTGATTATCAAATATTTATTATTTGTATATTTTTATATATTTATTATTTGAAATATATATTACTATTTGCCGTACTATAACAACTAATTATAAAATTGCTATTTCATATGAGAATAACAAGGAGGGAAAATATTAAGTAACTTGTTCTTTTAAAATACCAGGCGACATTTTTTCGTTATTAAATTCATTTCCAAATTAAAAAACTAGCAGTGCTATTTTGCTTTTAAAATTTAGTAGTTTTCATATGTGCTTTTAAATTCACTTTATTTCACTTAATATCTGCAACTTTTGTTCAGTTTTCATTCATTATTCTTGTGTTAGAAAATTTTTTTCCTTCGAAAATTGATTTTAATCCCTGGACAAAGGGTCATAGATTCTGTTTTGATATTCTGATTTTCCTGATGAAAATATTTTGTCCTGATATTTCTGAGAGATTATGCCAAGGGATTAGAATATTTATTAGCATTTTGTGTCCAATTCACAAGAAAGGAGATCCTATGATCTGTGCCAACTGTCATGGCACTAGTCTGCTTTGTATAACTTATAAAATTCTGTCTAAAATTTTATTTCTCAGGCTGTTACCATTCGTTGACTCACAAAAAGGAAAATATCAATGTGGATTCCGTGCTGGAAAATCAATGAAAGATCAGATATTTTGTATCCGTCAGATTTTAGACAAGTCAATGGAATTTAACATTGAAACACACCATCTTTTTATTGATTTCAAGGCTGCTTTTGATAGTATCAATAGAAATTATCTTTTTGAAACAATGAATACTTTTAAAATACCTTCAAAACTCATTAAATTGACGAGACTTATGTTGAAAGATACAGTGTAAGATTAAGTTTCTTGGGTCTCGATCAGAAAATCTTGATACTTTTACAGGTGTTGGATAGGGAGATTCTCTCTCCTGTCTTTTTTTTTTTTTAATATTGCACTTGACAGAGTTATTCGTGATTCAAACATCAATACCAGTGGTCACATTTTTATTAGATCAGTACAACTACTTGCATATGGTGATGATATTGATGTAATTGCTCATTCCCTTCCTGCCCTGAAAGAGGCATTTCTTGCCCTTGAGGTGGCTGCAAGACAAATGGGCTTAGTCATAAATGTAGAGAAAACAAAATATATGTTAAGAAACAGAGTCCCAAACCCCTATCTTGAACAGTAAGGAGTTTTACTTACTTAGGATCAATTATTACTATTGACAACAGAATGACTTGTGAAATAAGAAATCGACTCTATCTGGCAAATAGAGCTGTCCTTGGGACATATGTCTTGAGATCTATTAAATCTAGGTTTCTTTCTAGAAAAGCAAAGCTCTTAATCTACAAAACTCTTGTCAGGCCAGTCTTGACATACACTTCTGAGGCTTGGACAATGACAAGACTGGAGGAAAATTGTATTGCAATATTTGAGAGAAAGATTTTGCATAGTTGGTGTAAATGAAAACAATAACTGGAGAAGGAGATATAACTTTGAACTGTACAAGATTTATAAACAAGCCGATTTTATTAACTAGCCGCCTAAGGCGGCCAGCTGTCCGCCATGCTAAAGGTTTTCACAAAAAAAGTTTTCCATGGCCAACTTAAAACTTCTCACGTAATTATTGTGTTCATGCAACATTTCTTGCAAACTTGAAACTAATGCTTGTTTTGCTCGCAAAACATTCCTACAACGTTGTTCTTATTGCTTTTCCTAATCACCTACAGAGTATAATTGAAGAAATTTCGGCTTATCATTTATTTGTGGTTGTAGACTTCCTATTCTGTGGTACACTTGTCCCTGAACTTTGAAAGTAGGCATAAAGCCTTGTTCCCAAATTTCACTCCCAGATCCAAATGATGTCATCTGAAAGCATGACTTTTATCTTCTGATGTTACTTTGAAAATGTACTGTTTCAATTGAAGAATCTGTTAACAGGTTCAGGAGGTGTTTGAAGTTCACAGAGCTTAATTTTTCCATTGCTACAACACATTCTTGGTGTTTCACCTTTCCATTTTAATGCCTGGCAAAAAATGCATTCTGTTGCCATTTCACCAATTTTTATCAATGGATCTGATGCACAACATAAAGATGGGTTGTACATAAATGCAGAGTTTTCCTTGTCTTGCCACAAATGCAATCGAGCTTGGGATGTTAAAGCACGATTTTCTTCGACGTTCCTGGGATGTTTTTCGGGTCCTTGCATTTCTGGTTGAGACACGATTATTATCTAATCCTCTTCCGCGTTTTTCAGATGTTTCTTGGGCCCTAGCACTGCTAGTAGAGACACGATCCTCTTCCAATCTTCTTTGACGTTTCTCAGGTGTTTCTCGGACCCTACACTGCTAATTGAGACACGAACCTCTTCTAATCTTTGACGTTCCTCAGGTGTTTCTCGGGCCGTAACACTGCTAGTTGAGACACGATCCTCTTCCAATCTTCTTTGACGTTCCTCAGGTCCTAGCACTGCTAGTTGAGACACGATCCTCTTCTAATCTTCTTTGACGTTTCTCTGTTACTTCTTGGGCTCTAGAATTGCTTGTCGAAATTCGGTCATGTTCCATCCTTCTTTGACGTTCCACAGACGTTTCTTGTGCCCTTCTTCTTCCTTGAGAATCTCTTAATATCTTTTTCTTTGACAAAATACAAAGTTTTTTGGAAGGCGGTTCTGCCATGTCAGTAATTGGGTTTTTAAGAAGTCAACGAACAACAATTACTATGAAAGCAAATCATGAAACTTCAATATTAAAATCTAAGTGCTCACTTTCAAACTGAAACTTTCTGAAATAACAAATTACATTTAATAAAAACTGTTAAAGTAAAGAATAGAAAAACCAAAGAGATCCGAGGTAAGCGTGATCGTTCCTTCAAAAACAATTAAACTCCTATTTTATATATTAAATAGCTACAACGCTTAAGAAAAAAAAACTAAAATGCTAAATACATGAAAAGAACACGAAAACGAATTAATTTTTTATGGTATCAATTTCTATATCGCTACAAAAATTATCGTCTTCGCTTAAGAAAAAAAAATAGAGCTTGGAAAGAAGAAGAAAAACTTATTATAACTATTATGAACAGCGACAAATATATCAAAGCGAAGCCAAAGATTGCGAAGCGTTCTATTTACGTATCGAATATGTTGCCACATTTTTAATACAAAAGTTAAACTTTTCTCCACTTTGATAAATGTAAACTAAACAATAACAACAATAAACAATAACAAGCGTCCTTAAACCGGAAGAAATTTAGAAAATTTCCGGTGTATCCCTCCGCTTATGTTACGTCTACGAGGCGATGTGTGAACAAGCCAAATATTCTATGCAGTTTTGTCATTGCAATTTGGGTTCAAATCTAAACATATTTGTACCCTTCATAAGAGCTTTCAGAAATGTATTGATTCTCAGAGGTCGTAAGGCCAAAAAAATTTTTGGAAAGTTAANTTATGTGCCGAGTTTCGTGCCTGGGAGAGGCTTCTGGGGCGATATATTGTGATTACAGACACACAGCCGCGTTTATTATTATGTATAGATTACATAAAAATAAATAGAATGAATTGGTAATTACGTGATTCGAATGAGTGATGACGATACCATAAGAAAGATGCTGCTTTTTAAACCCACTGGCACCATTTTCTAAGAATACAAAT